GTGTGTGTGTGTGTGTGTGTGTGTGTGTGTGTGTGTGTGTGTGTGTGTGATGTAGAAAATAATTGTACACGTTTTGCAGTGTTGTCATCTGCAACTTCTGGCCATGACATGCAGTCATCTCTATTCTTCTTATAGTCTTATCATTTTTAAATTGGGTACATTTGTGAAGTGGCATTTGTGGAAGCACATTGATAAGAAAATATCATCTTGACTAAATCGAACAGTAATTGAGGAGATACCGAATCGTCAGTGACACCTGGAGGCGTATGAGGAAAATTACAACGGAGTTTCTTTATCTATTTATTGTTAGTTATTTGCGTTTGCTTGACATGCGGCGTGCTGATTTCTGGAACAATTATATTGAGGATATAATCAATATAATAAATGTATCCTTCATTCCATGCTCTTAATAATAGTAAGCATTGTAGGTTTCCTCTCGGTAATGTTTTCTCTCTTTGTACCTGCAGTCACTGTGGTTGGGACTGTCAACACCTCTGTAGACAGGTATGTTTCATACTAAGCAGCTGAAGCAAGTCTATACCAGTCATTTAGTACATTTAGGGCTATGTCTCAAGAGAAGTACGCAGAGTATACTTCCCACTTTCAGTTACAGTCATGCTTACTATACCCTTTCCATTGTGTAATAAAATACAAACCCCCTCATGCCATAGATATATCATTGTATTAATACAGAAAAAAATAAGTTATTTATTGGTTTTCTGCCTAAGAAAATATGTATTTCTTTGCAGTTATAATTGTTTGTTTGCATGTTTTCTAAAGTGTTTTCACTGAAGAGTCTCCACCTATTAGAGAAGAGGACGCTTTGGCTAAATGGGCATCCGATCCCGCCAACACTGCATGGATGGAAAGTAAGGAGCGATGCCCATAACAGTTGCACATTTTGTCGGGATGCATGAATCATTTTCATGGAAAGAATGCTGCTGTTGTTTCAGTCCCCTGTACTTGCCTCTGCACACACAGTGCATGCCTTCAGGGGGATATTATCTCCGTTTCTTCTTTTGACGCTGCTGAATTCCCAGACACTTCCTTCCCTGTTCTTTTGAGGAAGTGTGTGTGTGTGTGTTTTCTTTTAGATCCCTTCTACATTGCATCCTGTTTGTTGTGTGGTGTGACAAATCACACACTAGTTGTTTTGAACAGCTCTTTTTATGCTTCAGATCCAGACGAGGTGATTTACGATGACGTGCCCAGAGAGAACTCTGACTCCAACACAGGTTTGTTTAAAAAAAAAAAAAAAAGAAATCTACATTTCACAAATTCAGTATTTTTGTTCCCGTCTGTAGCTTTCAGCCTGTCGGCACTGCTCACTTTCACTTCTATTGTCCTAATTTCTTTAGTCAAAAACTAAGATACTAATACTCAATATACATCTGCATATACATTTATGCTACTGACCTTTGATAGAAGAACCCTACAAATTGTTTCTGTGGGTGCTTTGACTCACTAAACCTTCGTATTTCTGATGACGTTTTCTATGTCTGTCCTGTTGCTTCACACAGATCCAGATGAGATGATCTACGATGACGTGGAACTCGGTGAGGAGGGCGGCTGCAACAGCTCCCTCGACAACGGCTGGAGCTCCAGCGAGTTTGAAAGCTACGATGAGGCCAGCGACGGGGAAGGTCGCCCTGAGAACGGCCTGCCGCATGCCTTCATGAGAGGAAAGCCCCCCCAGAAGAAAACGCATGTGTGTATAACAATCACACTCCCACTGCTCTGACAGCGTTGCAGACAAAACGCATATCTTATCACTTATCACGTATATCACTGTACATCTGTAGGTGGGTGGATAACAGCAGTGGATGAAGCAGTCATTTTTATTTGTAATCTGCAATTTTGCATTTTAAATTGTTTGTGATTAGCAAGAGGGCTTGTGTCTTCTTTTCTACCCTATACATATCTACAGATATATATTATCATTGATATAGTTCTGACATATTTGCTTATATGAAGTTTTTTTTTTTTTTTTTTTTTTTTTTTTTTTTTTTTTTTTTAAAACATGAAGTTGTATTTTTCATTTCTAAGTTGAAACAAATCCTCTTATTGTGCCTATTTTGAACCTTTTGGTCAAATTATTGATTTCAATAATGTACAGTCTATTTGTGCATGGATGTGGAATCAATAGTTTCTTTGTTTCTGCAGCTTCTGGTTTACAGTCGGCGTGCTGCACTCTGTAATGTTTTGGATTGTGGTTTTGAGAATTCAGCTTCGCTTTTGTTTTCAGTGAACCGTGGTCAGATAGTAATGATTGCTTCTGGCAAGATAAATCATTTTGTACATGTTATGTGTTGAGTTGATGCATGATTATTTACATATGAATGCAACATTGTGAAAAAACCTCAAATAAAAACCAAATGGTATTGTGGTTATAGACGATTTTTCAGAAACTGATTTTAGGTGAATCAGATTAGTGTATAACTTAATTTCCCAATATGTTGTGCAGATTTGTCTGCATATTTCATTGGGCCCATTAATGGAAAAAAAATCAGATCAAGGGGAAGGCATGCTCTTTGGAAAAGTACATTTCTTCCCCTGATTCACAGTTTAAATGAGTTTAAGCTAAATGTTTTTTGGAAGAAGATGGGATCAGCAGTCTAGCAACACGTATGTCAAGATTAAAGTGAGTTTTCTGGTAGGTCTAAGGTGCGAGGTCATTCCAAAACCATAACCAGTAACGCCTGCTTTGCTTTTGTTTAGCTCTCTCAAGATCTGACACGCTTGAAAGAACACTATGAGAAAAAGATGAAAGATCTAATGGCAAACACAGTGGGAACAGTAGAGCTGCAGCAGTTAAAACAGAAACACGAGCAGAAGGTAAACTACCTGAGGCTCACCTCACCTGCCTGTGCTAGACAGTAGTCCCAAACCCTTAACTCTCACTCTGGGTGTCTCTCACTGACTCGGTCTACTCATCCTGCTCTGATGTGAATGACTGGTGGTGGTACTGGTGATGGGTTTGCATTCAATTCATTTGCCTCCCTGTCTGCTGCACTCACCTGTCTCATTATACGTTCGTGCTTTGGAGTTTGTGAAGCGATTGAGTTTTAATATTTCACTAATAAAAGTAGCTGAAAGCTGTCATTCTGTATTTCTAGTATCCGTTTCTTTCAGCTGATGTCCCACTTACTGTGTCGTTCTCTGGTCGGCTTTGCTCTCCTGTTGTCCTGTATTACATGACCTGCCGTTTACCTTCATCCCTCCTCTAACACTGCTCCCGTCCTGCTTAGCTCTGAGTTCAGTAGCTTTTTTTAGCCACAGGTGTAGACAAATATAGAATTTGTGTTACTTTTGCGATGTAGATAATCGTGTATTTTGTCTCGTCAAAGATGCAAAAGCTGGTGAAGGCAGCGAAGGAAGGGACCAAAGATGGACTTGAGAAAACCAAAGCTGCAGTGAAGAAGGGACGCTCTTTCATCAAAACCAAGTCATTCTGTCAGGGTATGTAGTTTGCTCTGTTAAACAGCAAATCCCTTTAGCTTTTTGTTTATGTTACACCGGTGTTAATGTAAAAAAAGTTCTGCATTTTAGCAAACGGCAACATAGCATTTTTCTGTCTCTTCAGCATGAAGGCTTGTTTGTTTAATTGCGGTCATGTATTCCTGGTGCTTTACTTGCTCTCTCGTCTTAAATCCTTCAGAGAGGAAGTCGGCCTGTTTTGAGGACGAGGAGTCTGAACTCTTCATTGAGGTGGACTGTTTCAATGTTGAGCCCGTGCTGTGTCCAGCACCAGCGGGTCTTTCACAGCAACAGGTGATAAACGCACCTTTCAACGTCTATCCCAAGTTCTGCAACTCTTTGCCGTTTTAAGAAAACCATGCCGAATGGTTTGGTGTGTTTCCTCCACAGCTGGTGAGAAGATGTATACTGGGATCTATATTGGAGAGCGAGAAGAACTATCTTGACGCGCTGAAAAGGATATTAGAGGTAAGCAAGTGCGGCTGCGGTGATTGACAAATCCACTTTGAAATGTTTGTTAACACAGTTCACATTATCTGCTTTATCAGCAATATGAGAAGCCGCTGTCCCAGCTGGAGCCGAGGCTGCTGAGCGACAGGAAGCTGAAGATGACCTTCTATCGGGTGCGTGAGATCCTGCAGTGCCACTTCCTGTTCCAGATCGCCCTGGCAAGCCGCGTTGCTGAGTGGGACAGCCTGGAGATGATCGGGGATGTCTTTGTTGCATCGGTAAGCTGGGGTTGTAAAGCTTTTTTTTTTTTTTTATTTTATTTTTTTTTTCTTTTTTTTTTTTAATATTAACATTAGCTGTGGTACCCCTGATTCCAGCTGAACCAGTTTGATATTCATGGCATTTGTGATTACATGCAGCACAGCCACGCTCTCCTCTTTCTTACCGTCTTCAGACGCATGCTCTCATGCAGATGCAGAAATTGAAGTCTGTTCTAGTATAGCATGTAGTCCACCTTCTTCCTGCTTAGCGACTCAGAGGCAGGGATCAACACAAAAGGCCTCATTTCCCACAGTCCCTGCTCACGACATCACTTCCTGGTTTTTGTAAGAAAATCGACTCCTGGCATGACATCAGAGGAGCAGTGAGACCCATCTGAAGTCTGCTCACTACCCTCTGTCACCTCACAATTCATATCCCATCATAAAACAGCAGAACTTGCACACCAGCACGTGCATACGCATACATATACACACACACACACAGCGATGGGCCTGAATTTAATAATTGGACGGCCTTATTACAGCCTTTAGAGCTACAGATGCCGCTTCTCTTTTTTTTTTTTTTTTTCCAGAGCATTTGATTTATTGATGATTGTCGGGATGTAATGACAATTCCAACAAATACAAAAACATTTTTTTGAAGAAGATACCAACCCTAGCTGTAATGCGTTTTAAACATTTGTGTTCCTCCACAGTTCTCAAAGTCCATGGTGCTGGATGCTTACAGTGAGTATGTGAACAACTTCAGCACCGCAATGGCAGTGGTGAGGAAGACGTGCGCCTCCAAACCTGGCTTCCTGGAATTCCTCAAGGTTTGAGAAAAACTGTTGAAACAGTGTCATGAATACATGTTATCTTTGGATTTTTTTGTTCTTACTGTTATGCTAAAGACCGCTAATTACATTCAATACATATAACAGATAAATGCAAAATAAATCTACTCAAAAGTACATGGATTAGCCTGGTAAATGCAACTCGCTACCCTGCTGGCATGCTTTTACGTCCTAATGCATCCTCTAAAAATCTTTGGACTGGTTTCTCGCTACACTGCATTGACCCGTCTTCTCACCTACAGCATCGCCAGGAGACCAGCAGCGACCGGATGACTTTGTACGGCCTGATGATGAAACCTATCCAGAGATTCCCACAGTTCATTCTGCTCCTTCAGGTTTGATGAATTCTTATTTTACAGTAATCTAGAAGACAGTGTGGTATGTTCATTGACCAGCAGAGGGAGTGCCATACACATAAATCAAGGCGCTCTGTTTTTCAAAGTTCTTACCAACCAGAGAAATGGGCTCGGGGGAAATAATTTCCTCAGATCTCTTAATCTTGCTCGGCATATTGACTTTTCCTCTGCCTCTTGCAGAAAATATAGGACACTGGATTGCTTTATTTTTTTCATAAAAATCAAAAAATGTGTTGGAGCACGTTATGTTATAAAAACACAGTCATGAGGATGTGTGCTATATAGATATAGAAAAATGGATGAGAAGACAGAGAGAGCATGCTTTCAAATGCTGTGGGATGCAATTATGCAGATGTATGGATAGTTGTACTGGTTAGAAAACACTGGGAGAGAGGTCCTCAGTGTGTGTGTATAAATCAGCGAATGATGACTAAAGTGTGACTTCTCTGTGCATCCTCATCAGGACATGCTGAAGAACACGCCAGTGGGTCACGCAGACCGTTTGCCCCTGCAGATGGCCCTGGCCGAACTGGAGACACTGGCGGAGAAGCTCAACGAAAAGAAGAGGGAAGCCGACCAGCGCTGCGAGATCCGCCACATTGCGAAGGCCATGAACGAACGCTACCTCAACAAGGTCCGCCCACTGTTGTGTGTGTGTGTGTGTGTGTGTGTGTGTGTGTGTGTGTGTGTGTGTGTGGTCTGAATCATCGTACAGTACGATGCTGCAGCGTAACGGAGTTTGTGTTCTTGATACATGAGGTTGTTGCACATGCGATTGGTTTGAGTTGATGATTTACTCATTGCGCTGTCAGTACACACATTTTGGCTGATGATGTTTCGAGTCTTTGAGCATATGCTGTGGCATTTCTCTCCGTCCCAGTGTGGGCGGCCATCCGGCACTTCACATTTTTTTTCAAGTATTCTCTTGCATGAATAGCATATTTTTAGCGCGTGGCTTCTCACATATGCACACAATACCAGCTCTCCCCAAGGTGTAATTATTTGTCTATCTGCCGCCACCCACTCTGGCATCTGTGTAGAAACATGTGTTTACAGGATACCCTATATGAGGCAGAGGAGTTTAGTTCGTATCATTTATCATCCCTTTCTCTTAGCTTCTGAGTAATGGCAGCCGCTACCTGATCCGCTCCGACGACATGGTGGAGACGGTCTACAATGAGCGTGGGGAAATCATCAAAACCAAGGAGAGACGCCTCTTCCTGCTCAATGACGTTCTCATGTGTGCAACTCCCAACATCCGGTAAGAGTGCCCGCAAACCAGACAGACCTGTCCCTTAATCTGTCCCCTATTTTGCACCTTGGGTGCAATATCCTGTAATCTCTTTACTATTTTACAAATTTAGAAATTAATTGTGTGTGTGTGTGTGTGTATTTTTGTTGTGGTCTTGTTTGTATAGTTCACTTAAAGGAATGTGTTTAACGTAAGTAAGATTTCCTGACGGTAAGAATCTGTCTTAAAGAGAACTAAATTAAAATGGTCAGCACACGTATGAAACTGGTCACCTCGGGTGACTTTTGACCACACTGGATCTGGAGGTTTGGACCCATTTGTACCCACTGCGGCTTGCTTTTCAGCCAAGAGTGACGGAGAGCCCCGGTTCCGCGGCTTTTCAGCTTCTGTCCTGTAATTGTAACATGATGGTCACCACGTACTTCCTCTTGGAAACATGCACTGACGTGTAAAAAAAAAATATATACATTTTCTAGATGAGTGACATTTACCTCCTCTTATCTTTCAAACTGCACTGATGTTTTCTTCCACTCATATTTCCTCCTCACACGGTGCCAAAGAGACATTTCTTTTCCACGAAACAACATGAACTGGAGCCACTTTGTCACATGACCTTCATCTCTTTTCGGCTCTGCCCAGGTGTCAGGATGGCAGTGGGAGTGGCAGCGGCAATGCCCCGCCCGACCAGAAGTTCCTTCTAAAGTGGAGCGTGCCTCTGAGCTTCGTGGAAGTGCTGGAGTTCGGATCCAGCGAGGACATGGCCGACAACAGCCGCTACCCAACGTCCCATTCAGGGGAGAAGGTGGTCATCAACGCTAAGCCAAGTATGAACCACACTGTCGCAGGTTTTAAAGCATAGCTCATATTGGCTATGATATATGTAGCTATCAATATTGCTTGCAGCATTGCAAAAACTACAGTAGTCAGAGAGATTTGATTGTTGTTGTTGTAGCACATTCACATCTCTAGAATGGGGCCAGTCTGGCCCAGACCATCCAGCCTGATGGTGTATTTTTTTCCTTCTGTAATCCTCTGGTGAGCTGCCTTCCAAGTCCAATGATTTCAGTCTTTCCACTGGGCTCTCCCCTGTCGCAGACAGCTGCTCAGCCACTTTAAAAAAAAAAAAAAAAAACGCACACGAGGCATGACGAAAGTCTACATTTTTGTGGTCAGACCGCTGCAGTTTTTATTCCAGGATGTAGATTTTCTTTCTGTGTGTCCGCGTTTGTGCCGAGGTAAGTGGCGAGTGCTTTGATGCCGTATTATCCCCTGGTATGTCAAAGGTCTTATGTATTCAAGCTGAGGTCGGAGGCTCAGTCTGTCGGTTGCTAAATGCTAGTGGGCCTGAATCACTACCACTGGAAAAACACACTGCACTCTATAGCTCACTCTCTTTTTCTCGCACCGTCCATCTCTCCAGCTCCCTCTAATCTAACATCCGCAACACAGTTACATAATGTTCAGTCTTTTGCAGCCAGGTGTCACATTTATCATTTAATAGTTGGTGTTTTCTTTTGTGTTGTAGCAGACAGCCCACCTGCCATGTTAGATTATTCCACTTTTCTGCTCTTCCACAGCCTTAGAATATTGTACCCCTCTTTTATCTGCCTTTTATACCCTTTTTCCTTTACCTTCACTTCAGCCGCACTTGGTGCACTCTCTATTGCACCCATGTTCTTTCAGACCCCCGGTCTCTCTCCGATACTTCACTGAGCTGTATGAAAAGTCGAGCAATTGCACGATTGTAAGTAACGGATGGCGCAAACAGACAAGGATACAGTCAAGTATAAATGTTATTTTGTTCTTACAAATTGCAGTTAAGTGAATTAGATGTTGTAGATATTGAAATGATGTGATCTGACCATAGTGCTTTAAAAAAAGCTGACCTTCGCTCTATTCCCTTGGTCTGATTTAGCTATTCCCCAACCAACTTCAGCCTTGTGTACGTCTCTGGGGGATGTTTGTGTGCATACAAATGTGTGCATAGTCCAGGAACTTTCAACAAGTGGAAACAATTGTTTCTCGGCCGACTGTGTGCAGCCAAAAGCAGCTCTGTGACAATGAAAAGGTTCTCCCGCACATGAGGTCGCCTCTTCTCATGTCCTTCTGCTTAGTTCAACTCTTCCTCTCTCCACTGCATAGCAATCAGTCCGCCAGGCAGCCTCTTCATTTCAGGTTACGTTCTCCTGCGGCTCACCGTCGGTATGTAATTTGTAGATATGTTTGTTTTTAGGAAGTGTGTAATTGCTGGGATGACTGCCACGTTTCCTATGATGCTGCCCGCCCGGCTTGATTTGTTTGAAAAACTCCCGGCATTTGGCACTCTCACAAAGAGCCCTCAGGAAGTTGGACCCAGGTTGAAAGGAGTTACACAGTGGCAGTTCTGTCTGTGGGAACGGTCAATTCAGTTGCGTCTTATCATTTGTACTGTTAAAGTACTGTTACAGACAATATACAGCTAAATACGATTGACAATGCTGGAGGAAATATACTCCTAGTCTAGCACAGACAATGCCAACAAATTCATATTAAGTAGAGTCTTAGGATTGTGCTCCATCATGTGACACTGGCTGTATATAAGCTGTTGTAGTTGCACTTGCTCCAAGCGTGACACACCATCGAGAACACATGAGAGGTTTATTCAGCATTTCTGCCCTGACCTGAATTCAACCCTCCGACTCGTTTTGCCGAGACAGATGAGCCATGAAAATTGCTTACAGCTCCACAAAACTGCAACAATACATTTATCACGTCATCGTATTAATGGTTTGAGTAAGTATACGTGACCTGTAGTTGTATTGAAAGGTGGCTATGATTTGAGCCAGTGAATGAAATATAATAAGAGGTAATTGACCATGAAAACATTAAAGAAATCTAAAACCCATTGACGCACTACTGTAGGCCTGCTGTGTTCTGCTTGCGCCTTTGTGTCCAGGGCTGCTCATGCATGTGTAAGGATGACAGAGAAGTTCTGTGGAAGTGAGCAGCCTCCTGTGTACAAGCTCAGAGGGAGACATTTTTGAGTAATTCTCCCAGAGACCACCTACAAATGTGGATTTTGGCGATGCACAAACGGGGGTAAACTGTCCCCTGAATGGCCAGTCAGCGAGGCCTTCAGAGGAGGACTGGACTGGGTTGCCATGGAGTTTGGAGCACCAGGCAGACTGACTATTGTAGGAGGAGGGGAAGGAAGGAAAGAAAGGAGGAAGAGAAAGTAGAATGGCAGCAGCAAACAAAGTCATTTAGGTGCCAAAGACTGATGCAGTTTAACCATTTGGTCACCGATACGCACATAAACATGGTTCATGTGGTTTGCGGTTAGGTTTTAATTGGAAGGGGGCCTCTACTTGTTAATTCAGCCGTTTGATTGAATGACATGGATAACTTTTCTGTTGACAATTTTGGCCAACTGACAGGCATTCCCCCCTCTGTGTGTGTGTGTGTGTGTGTGTGTGTGTGTGTGTGTGTGTGCGCCTTTTGATGAGCTATGTGGTTGTGTTCAGAGCAGCGCTGCACAAAGCAAGTCGTTGTTTCCTTTCGATACAGCACGGTAACGGTCACATCACACAGCATCATGAGGTTTGATATTTTGCGCAGATCAACCCAACGGCGTACCTGTTGCAGCATTCATACACAAGGTAAAGAACAGTGAGGATGATACTTTCTGACCTCTGAAAGCTCAACAAGCGAGCACACTGGTGAGAATCACTGCAGAGCCGTCACCGCTCCCCGTGGGAAACTGACTGATGAGCCTTTATTGATCTTCGTCTTTGTTAGTCCAATTTGAACTGCTTGTCTCACTCGTTGCTGCTTGCGTATCAGACGTTCTACTAGGGGGCTGTCTCAGCTCTTTAGGTCTCAGCTCTTTTTCACTGCTGTTTATTCTCTCCGGCTCACGGATGGATCGTAAATATGAGTCACCGCTATCTGTGAGTTGAAATTGAGACTATAAAGCACCTTTAATGATATGAGCTGATTAAAGCTTTGTGACAAAAAACTCTTCATTTGAACACTTTTTTTAGCTTCACATGCATTGCAAGTTATTCAGAGTTTAAAAGTTGTGAATTACCGAAAACAAAAATGAAGCTTGTTTTTTTTTTTTTTTAAATGTTTTGCTTTTGTGTGTTTCTCTGTAGACAAGCTGTACATGGGCCCCGGTCAGTTGTACCAAGATCTGCAGAACCTGATCCATGACCTCAGCCTGGTCAGCCAGATCTCCGGCATGATCAGCAGCCTCAAAGGCAACTACCAGGTATTGTGTCACTGAGCTAAAGTACATCAGTTCAACTCAATACATTTATAGTCTTCATTGTCCCTTGAAGTACTATTTTTGTGTTACTTTGACTAAGAGTTGGAATAGTTTCACTGTCTATTAATATTCTTGGAAGCTTTCCAAAAGTTGACATAGACAAATGTTCCTCCCGTGTACCTCCGGACTTTTCAAATCACATTCATCGTGTTTCCCCTCAGATGTCCATAAGGGGCTGGGCTGCTATGAAGCCATATAATGTTTAAACCGTGGAATGTGCCAGAGTAGGCAATCTGTCTCTGGGAGACAAGGAGTCTCTTAAGTCTTGATTTGCACCATTTAAGTCATATCATGTGGACACACACACACACATCCACACAAGTCTGTCTGTGCTCTTAGGGTGGAGGTTTAGTTTGCAGAGGTGTGTGTGTGTGTGTGTGTGTGCGTGTGCGTGCGCGCGCTGTGCTGTGCTGTGCTGTGCTGGTAGGTCTGTCAGAAGCAGAGTGGGAGGCAGAGTAACAGAGAGGCTCTCAGAGAGAGACATGTGTCCCAGAGATGGAGGGAGGGAGACATTGATGGGAAAGGAAGGAAAGAAAGAAGCCGGGCTGAGATGTTTGATCTGCACGCTGCTCGGCTTCTTCCTCAACTCTAAATGAAGTAACCTAAATGATACTGACAGTCTTGTAATATTAGATATACTTATAGCTTCTTCATACATTTTGTCCATCAATACTGATAATTTATAAGACCGTAAAGCATATACTGCAATTAAGATGTTCAGTTTGGTTAAACGGCTATTGTAGTTATTCGTTTATGATTTGTCAGTTATATGATACGTCTGTACTTTCAACAGCATTTTATTCTGTTAACAAATACGGAGGAGCAAAGATGCAAGAAACCACAGACAGTCCAATACAAAAACACAACTTTCAGCTTCAGAGATATGTCCGTATGTGATGTATTGGATTGCATTTCAGTCACGGCTTTTTCTGTTTGTCATAAATGAATGTAATGTGTTTTACAGATGTTTAAATGCTCTGAAGTACAATAGTTTTATTCTTATTCCCATTATTGTGCACAGTCAATTATCCCCCCCCTTAATTTCATGACTCTCTTCCTCCTTCTCTTTCCCTCTATTCTTTTATCATTTCTTACCATCCCTCCAATATCCCTGTGTACAGAATGTGAACTCCACAGTGGCCCAGGATTGGGTATCTGGTCTCCAGAGGCTGATACTGAAGAAGGAGGAGGAGATCAGGGCAGCTGACCGGTGTAGGATCCAGCTCCAGCTGCCTGGCAAACATGACAAGTTTGTGTTACACACACACACACACACACACACACACACACACACACACACACACATTTCAGTGTTTGCAACCAAAGGCTACCCAGTGCTGCAGCTGTTGCTTAACTCAAAGGCACATGTCACATATTTACACACTGTTATTGTCGGCACGTGGTCCCCCACGGGTGCATATAGTTTTGGCTTTTTTTCTCTCTTTCTCTCTCTCTCTTTCTTCCCCCCCCTCACCCCTGCTCTTAGTGGGTGAGATTATCCATGGGTATGTTTGGAAACACAGCTGTTCTTCTGTCATTCCTCCCCGATCCCTCAATCGCAAAGCACACGACACACTTCTTCTCACAATCAGCCAATGACAGGAGGCACACACACACACACGATGCCTACATGAGCTGATGATAGAAACGATAATTGGCATCGACTTGTATCGCTTTTCTGTCACAGTGTTTCTAGTCACTCAGCATTGAATGGGCAGACTCATGTGCCCCCTCGGCTTGGATTCAAGCCAGACAGAGATCTGTTCATTTGAACATATCTGGTATTTTACCCTAAAAGATGCTGAGCGTCTGTGTGTGTATAGAAGAATATTCAAACATCGACATGGCTGCTTAGTGAGATGTTCATGCAAATTCAGGCCCTATGGTTACCAAAGTGTTGGCACATTATTCATTCAGTACACTCTTGTTAAAGCATCTCATGTTTTGACATATTCTGCAACATGAGTACTTTTTCTTTTTTTTTTTTTTTTTAAAGCTCTATGTGAAGACTTTTATGTATTAAATATTAACTTAGTAAACTGGCATGATATGGAAGCCACAAACGGATTTTGAGGAGTTTTTTGTTTGTAATGAATAGAAAGGTGAAATTGTTGTCAAAAGCAGCAGCTTGCAGTTGTGAATTCTGATCTTCTGTCCAGTTGGTGTGTCACTGTTGTGCTGAGTCATCACATAGAGCTTTAAAAACAAGAATATGTAAAGTAAATCAAGGAGGAGAAGGAGAGAAAGTGGAGGCACTAAAAAAAAAAAAAAAACATCTCCTGGAATGCATTGATCATATATTTGTGATATGACCGTGTTTACGGTTGGAGTTTTCTCCTCAGGTTCTAATCACTCGTGTTTTTGTTTTGGAAGGTCGGGTAAACCGACGTACTTCAGCGCAGTGTTCAACACTCTCAGCCCAGCCATCAAACAGTCATGGATCAGTAACTTGCAGATGGCCAAGCTGGCTCTAGGTACAGTACACCGCCACTGTCTCAGCTGCTCAGCTGTCTTTACCGTTTCAATTGTGTATGCGTGCATTTATAAAATATGACAACAATGTGTTGCCTGGAGTCTTTTATTCTGAAGACGGATAACTTCAAAAACATTTACTGCATACTGTACACATTAATGAATCGAGTGCTGTTTGTGGGTTACATCAGAGGAGGACAACCTGCAGGGCTGGTTCTTCGCAGAGGAGGATGGGAATCAGATCAAAAAGCAGAAACACCCTCTCTTGCTTCGACAGATGCCCGTGGTCATGTCAAAACTCCAAGAGTTCAAGGTGAGACCTGTTTCTTTCCTATAACGGTCTTAAAAGAAGGTTGCTGGTTAGCTCAGTCAATGAGAGTGTGGTGCTAGTGATGCCAGGGTTGTGGGTTCCATCTCCGTACGGGCCAATGCTCACATTACAGCATTGACATGTGTGGCCTGTTAACAGAGAGAGTTTCTCATGTTGTTGGACGCTGGCTGGAAATATAACAGTAACGTGGGCTGTTTCTACCTGACTTTATGTCTATTTGAATTCTCACAGTATAAAATGACTTGTAGTCTCATGTAGGTGATTTGCTTCAGGGCTGAACCTCTCAGACATCTTTTTAGGTTTTTCATCTTGACACTAATTAACACTAACTGGACACCTGTTTTATTTACCCTGTGGATTCCCACTCATCCGACCATGTTTCTCTCTCATCCTCTCTTATTTCTTGCCGTTCTGTGTCAGGTGGAATGTGCCGTTCATAATCCAGAGCCCCACATCAACACGGAGAGCACAGCAGATACTCCCGTCGTGGGCCATGGCTGTGTCTGGGTGAGGAGTTTTTTTTCCACTCCGCTCATGAAAAAAAAAAAGGAAGCAAGGTGTTCGCTTACATTTCAACAATTGCACAAAATGAGAGCAGCTACCTCCACATATCTGGGTTTCCTCCACCCAGAGGAAGAACACACTCATGAGCCCTTCAACCCTGAAAGTTTTAGACGAGAGGATTTAGTTTAAGTGTGTTGAGAGGCTTTAACAACTGTATCTTGGCAAATGGTCTCGCAGTCCTCTTATTTTCAGCAGCTTAGATGATTTAAGCCTCACCACGTTTCTCTCAGTGAGTCTGACTTTTAGTTTTGGCAGAAAGCTGTTTTTCACTAAAAATGTGTTTCTTTAGTGTTGGCTGTACAGATGGTAGGTTTTTGATATTCAATTAAAATGTTCTAATGTCCCCTAGAGAGACAAAAATCTGGGATTGCAAATGATTGATTCAGTACTTCAGTTTTTCTCAAAATAAACAATGAGTGTCATAACAGTGGTAATCACTGCTAATGCAGTGATTCAGTGCGTCAGGGAGAAGCGCGAGTCTGTTAAAGATATAAACATCCCTCTGGCTTGTTATTTCAATGGTGAGGTAAGATATAAACTGTTAGATTTTGGTTGTTTTCAACATGATTTAATGTCATAGATGAGTATCAGTCTTATTGGGTCTTGCCTTTTTGAATTGGCACGTTATGGCATGAATTGGATAAATACTTTTAAGAGTGCTTCAGTCGAATGCTTATTTGTTAAGCGCTGCCTGCTTTGTTTTGCTTATACTGCGCTTTCCATGCTGTGTAACTCTTGAAGATGTTCCGTTTTTAACCGGGCTATATTATTTATTAGTAATGAAAGTATCCCTAAAACAAAAGGCGTCTCTATCTTTGTTCAGGTTGCTAGTTGCACCAACCAGATGGGCCAGATATCCATCGTGGCCATGCAGAGCTCCAGCCCTAAGGTGACCGAGTGTTTCAATGTGGAGTCCCGTATCCTCTGCATGGCCTACGTCCCGGCGGAGCAGCCTCAGGAGAATGGCGAGCAGATTCCCGAAAACAACCACACCTCCGCAGCGAAGGCCACTGATTCTCCCAGTGTCTGTCTGGGCATGGAGGAGGGCAGGTACAGCACGCGGAGTACTTTCAATACTGTGTCTGCATTCCTTTAATATCTTTCAATGTCTACAAGTTACAATAAACGTAATTTTGTGAAACTTTTAAAGTCATCTGTACCCGCACCATGCACACTGTTACTTTTTAATAAGAGGGCAGACTTCTAATTCTGCATCCATAAATGATAAATGTCAGGTTTTAATTATGTATTAATGGTGAATGTCAGCATCAAAGAACAAGGGGCGTCTTTCTAGCCTTTTCATTTAGCACCGCAGTTAATCACTAGAGAGGAATCCAACACAGTGGCCAATAGATTTATGATACTTGTCCACTATCAGTGGCCCATAATGCAATGTAGCGTTCAAAAGGCAACATGCAGATAGCCGTGCGTATCAAAGTATTGAGTTTGATCTGATTTCATCTCCCGTCCTGTTCAGCATCATTGTGTATAAGAGCAGCCAACGGTCCAAGAAAGTCCGCCTGCAGCATTTCTTCACCCCAGACAAGTCCACCGTCACCAGCCTGGTCCATAAGAAACACTGTCTGTACGTTGGCCTGGTCAGCGGCTCTGTGGCCGTCTACTCCAGATCACAAGGTGTGTGTTTCAGGAGGGGAGGGACTTGTCAATTTGCGTGCCTCCTCCCGTTATAGTGTCTTGAGTTCTTCCTCCGCAATGTTTGTTGATACTCTTACTCTTAAACAGCCATAATTAGGGCAATTACGAGGTAAATCACTGGTTTTGTGTGAAACAGAAATATGCATTCATTGAGTTAATTAGATTTGGTTTTAAAAACTGTGTAGGATGACAGTGTTTACCTCAATATTTAGTCTGCACCAGCCCTGAGTTTTGTAACCACTGGCCATGAGTAAGAGCACTGTTGGCAACTTTGTTGTTAGATTTAACCGCTTCTAACACACTTCTGCTCACCTAATCTACCAAAATACAACCAGCACCATATCTGTTTACTTTTTCCAATGATAGGCAGGATAGCATTTCATGTGCTACAATGCAAAATTGTGGAGCTCGAGGTCAGGAGACTCCTCTGTTGAGGTTCTGTTCCCGTTTGCTCGGTTGTCTGGGAGAAGCCAATCTGTTGTCTGTGACCTATTTAACGTCCTCCGTCCCAGACAAGTGCAGACACATCAGAGGAGAGGATCCGAGCTTCACTCTTCCCACAGTCTTTCCCATTCTGTGTGTTGTTCCGTCTCTTATTGGCTCTCATAGCGGTGCAAACAGAGGGCCTCCTCTCTCTCTCTGCGTTTCATTTTCTCTGTCTGCTTTTTTCCTCCGGGTCACAATGTGGGTTAAGATAAGTACACATTTCAGAACAGACTCCTTGTCAAATATCTGTATCCCTATCCTCCTGTGATGCCACCATTGCTAGAGGCATGTTTTACCAACCTCAGTCCCACATATTCTTTCCTCTCCATGCGCTCATATGACACAAATTGAATCTCCAAAGGAAGAACTTTTAAGTGTCCTTTTTTTACCTTTGGTTGTTCTGTTAAGTTGGTCTGTGTGCGATAAAGAGACACCGAAAGATTACAGATGATGGCCTGAGGACACAAGCACAGGTGGAAAACTATTCTCGCTCATTCCACAGTTGAGTTTGCCTGGAAAAAACATACCGGATGTATGCAACCGTTCAGGAATGTTCAGGGTTACTCATTTCTCCTTGTTTTGATGCTCATGTCGCCTCTCCCCCACCTTCATTCTCTCTCACACACACACACACACACCAGTTACGAGTATGCCAGTGTTGGCTGTTTCAGAAGCCGATTTTCATCGTTCGTCACCGCTGGTGAGTCGAATTGATTCCAACACGAAGATCCTGGCCCTAGATCATCCTGTTGTTCCCTTCAACAGCTCTGTCACTTGAACATGATGCTTGACGCCAGAATGATGAGTCATCACACATAGTTTGGTAGGGAAACCGTCCCCCGCTGTAACGCTGCTCCAGTACTTCATCACGGTGAAAGGCTCTGTCGGCACCTCATTAGCATTTAAAGTAGACTCACGGTTTACATCGCAGAAACGAAGGAAATGATCAGCTGTTATTCTTTTGATGGTAAACTGTCGCGTGTTCGAAGGCAACCCTCGCAGTGAATAGTGACGAGACATCAGAAACAAGCGAACAGATTGGGGATGTTGCTTTTTGTCTTTTAAAGCCATCGGGGCTGAGTTCTCCTGATGTAGCGTGTCTGAAGCTGGCCGCTCGGCCTCATTCTGGCATGCTGGCTGTTTCCTTTGTGACTGACCGTGTGAGAGACGAAGAGAGAAGGAGGCAATGATTCGGCAAAGGTCGTACGTCATAGCCAGACAGTCGGAACATAAACTCCGTCCGGCTTCATCCTGCCATCCTGCATCACCTACTTCTTCACGTTGAGGGTATGGTGCGTAACGTCTTGTTTGTTGCAAGCGATGTCACAATATGAAAGATGATTGGCTTATTTAGTCTGGTTTGTGTGCTGCTATTTGGAGAGAGAGAGAGAGAGAGACACACACACACACACACACACACACACTGTGATGAGTAGTTTATGCCAGCTGACACTGACTTGAAGGAATGCTACAGTTTAAGCAAGTTGGCACTCCTTTCATATTTATTTATTTTTTCTCCACTGTACTTTCCTTCCCCCCCCCCCCCCCCCGTTTCTTTTTTTTTTTCCCCCTCTGTCTCGTGGACATCTACCTACACAGTATGATTGTTAGAATAATATACACGGGGCACTGCTGGAATGCTAATCCCACCTAGCCCCTTCAGTGGGAGATTGCCCTCACTTCCCCAGTCATTACTGTACCTCTGAAAGAACGCCTCTCCCTGCGTGGCACCTCGGCCTTCAATAGCCGCCTTTGTGCCTTCTCTTAACAACACCGTTGGTGAGGCCTCATTCACTTCCTGGCCTAGATTGGCTCAGGGAATGTGGTATCTGGAGGAAATGAAGTCTGTGTTCACACAGTGCAAAGCAAAAGTGCACGTCAAAGAAAATCAAGTAACGCAACATTTTTTTACCAAATACCTTGATGTCGTTATGCGACGATATTGTAAAGTTGACTATTGGTGCTTTTACAAAATATTTTAACAATGCGATTTTTGATAAATAATCATCAGCAATGTGGATATGATTATAAGTGTGTAAAGGCAAAATCTGATTTGATATCTAGTCTCTTACCACAATATCGGTATATCAATTTATTTCCAAGCCCGATTAAAATCGATCAAATGTAGAGCTTTTTTCCATCCGCCGCTCCTACATTGGCCCCTTATTGGATGACGACATTGATTGAACTCTCAGCCAGTGTATATAATGGTTGAAGGAATGTAATGTGTTGCTATTTATCAAGGCACTGCATGGGGTTGTTTCACTGCAGTAGAGCTGACGCCGTGGGGGCCCAGGCACATGTAGAACAGAGTGTGTAGGAGGTGCGAGTGGGATAGAGCTCGGCTCTGACTAATGCCTCGCAGCCCATCTGTATTCACAGTGAAGGCTGTGAAAACCATCAATGGCCTCTCCACCAGCATTAGCGGAGCCATGAATGCACATGACCTTTTCAGGCGATGCTTATAAAGACAGTCTGTTATTGTGTCTTCCATATGAAGTGTAAACCATTCTTCTGTAACAGTTACGTGGATAATTGCTAGAGGGTTACTTTGTAAAAGAGAATACAGTAACACTAATAGCAGAGATGCACAGTACTGATCCTTTCTGTGTGTGTGTGTGTGTGTGTGTGTTTGCATTTAAACTGCGTTTTGTGAAATGCAGACTGTCTATTTGCTTGAGTGCTGAGCTGCCGGTATTGTGTTTGTTGTTACAGATGGTTCGTGGAGCTGCGAGAAGCCTACGGTGCTGAAACTGGGGGTTCTCCCGGTCAAGGCCATGCTGGCTGTGGAGGAGCACCTCTGGGCTTCAACAGGTGGACAGGTCTTCATCATCAGTGCCCACACACACTGTGTGGAGGTACGTAACCCTTGCTGGAGGCTACTATTGCACACCATGTCTACATCATAAACAGAGCAGTTTAGCAGATGTGCGTGTGTGGTGTAAATAACCCTCGTATATCTGTCGGAAAGAGTACAGAGTAACATTTAAGGAACATTGGGGAGATTTAAGAGTGTAAACTGCAGTTACTTAAAGTATAAAGAATCACAAGTAGATGAAGGTGCCCCATTTCCCTTCCTGGGGGGGGTGTGTGTGTGTGTGTGTGGGTGTGGGTGGGTGTTTGTTTTTTTTTTTTTTTTTTTTTTTTTTTTTTTTTTTTTTCTGGCCTCGTTTAGGGAACGGAAGCACCTGCCATGCGTCCGGGAATAGTAGCGTTCCTGTGACATGCACTCACTAATAATCCGTTTAGCCTCATTAAGCTCATTATGTTGGACCGCCTGCCTGTCTCACTCTCTTCTCCTCACTGAGGACTCGGTTACACCAGAGTGGTGACTGTAAGTTGAACAGGGGAGAGAGGCAGAGACGGAGAGGAAGAAATGGTGAGATGGATGCAGAGAAATTAGACTTAAATTTGAAAAGGTATGTAATAAATAATCAAATGTAGTTACAATTTAAATGACAATGGTTACAAATGTGTGTTACAAATGTATTTCATGCTCCTTCCTTAACACTTTACTGTTCTGACACACTTGTGAACGGGCTCTCCTTTGCCAAACATAACTCCACCTACATGTGAAGCAATGTGTGGTGAGATTATGTAACCAGTGGGGATGGAAAAAGCCCAGTTTATTGGTCTCCATGACCAGAGAGTTCAAAATTACACTCTGCACATATTTGAAGCTATTCTTGTCCACACTAATGAAAGAAAGGCCAAATCAAGAGTTAAAGAAAAATGATTTGTGAAAAGTTGATTTAATTTAAAGCTGCTACTACAAGGAACTTTAATTTTGTGTTGATTTTGGCGGTTCCAGTGGACAAAGGCGGTAGTGTTTCAAAGCGCCTTTAGAAAACCTCACATTGTACTGCAGCAGGGTCTCACAGTCTCCCCCGCACGGTCCTGGTTGTCCCGTGCCTCCGGTCCCTCCAGTGTGCCCAGAAATACGACCACAGCCTGCTGGAGTCTGAGCTGAAGGGGTTTCTGCCGATCCTGCATGATTTCGTGTATGGAATCCAGTCCCGATGGCACCGATGACTTAGAATTAAGCATTAAGAACTGCTACATAGAAATAGCCATTCGTCTGGCTAATGGTTGGGCAGTTGGCCCCCAAAAAAAACATTGTTGCTTTATTGTAGAAATGCGACTCGTTTGATACCATTTGGATGGTAAAGCATAATCACAGGGTCCCAGACATTACAACCACTGACAATACATGTGCTGCTGTAGTCTAAACAGTCTGGGACAGACTCTCTGTGGGTTGATTGCTTAGTTTCTCTAGTTTTGTAGTCGCACAAGAAACCCTGCAGCCTCTGTCGTGTTTAGCCTGGGTTTAAAATGTCAATAACAGTATACAGTGCAGTTTCTTTTGGGGCATCGGTGTTCTCTCATGGGCAGACTGTCAAGCAGACAGCAACCTCATACACAATATAAGAGCCACAGAGTCCGGACAACAACCCAGATTAAGGAAGATTTCATGCTCGAGTCTCCGACAACTCGTTGAAGGAGCCACCGAACAAATATTCACAGTGAAAGTTTGCAGGTTATATAGCTAATTAGATGGTAATCAGATAACGAACTGCTAATCAGCTACAGAACATTGAACAGCATGCATATACCACTTTGGTCCGTTTAGATGCTGCTGCGGATCTTACTCTTCAATACAGACTAACCATACCTTTCAGTTTTTCTGGTCGGATTTCATTTTTTTGCTGTTCTCAAAGGTCTCATGTTAACTCATACTTGCTAATTTGTTTTTCTGTTTTAGTCCGACCACCACTGAAAAAGTCCTTAGAAGTCTATTTTGAATACACTCACTCTTCATAATGGTTATGTTACTGTGCTGGAGTTATTATGAATGTGCAGTATGTAATGCCTCAGGCCTGTCACTCTGCCTTGTCCCCCTTCATCCAGAGGCAGCTGGAGGCCCACCAGGAAGAGGGCATGGTGGTGTCCCACATGGTGGTGGCTGGGGTGGGCATCTGGATCGCCTTCAGCTCAGGTTCCACTCTGCGCCTTTTCCACACTGAGACCCTGGAGCACCTGCAGGACATTAACATTGCCACACCTGTCCACAACACACTACCTGGTAAGACATGCGTCCCTTCACCTATCCAGGGTCAACTATGCTGACAATCAACAGATTTGAAAATCATTTTAGTAACGCCTCAAGTCTATAGTTCAAAGGTTCAGCATCAAAGATGGAATGTAGTCAGCCCACATGGCTTTGTTTTTACTGTTTTTCTTTCCTCAGTGTCCCATCCCCAACATTTTATTTTTGTTGGACAAATACAATCTGTTTTGGGATCTTCTCGTTCCCTCTCCAAAGTAAGTCCTGGAGGTTTACGATGTTAAAAGGAAAAGCATTAAACACGAACATCCTGACCTACCCGACGGATTGTTACACGGAACCATTTGAGAAGCCGTCATTAGAGACTGTTTAGAGAAGGGTGGCACTTTCAAAAAAATACTTGGCAGGTGATTGGATGAACCTTCTGTCAATCAAACCACATTTACCACTTTAACAACCCCCCCCCCCCCCCCTGACTGAGACTGAAACCTTTTTCAGAGAGTATCAAACTGTCTGAAGAAGAACAGCTAAGCCTAGTTCTCTCTTTTTGATATTTGATCTTCGAGTCAAATGTACTTTTTCAGATGCAGCCCAGCATTTGTGGATTGCTGTGCAGGTCCGACGACCTCATGGCTTCAAAGTGCTGCCTGTGCCTGTCATCAGTGTAGGTGCTCATCCAGACAGCTCTTGTTGTGGCAGCTTTGTCATGCACTCGTCCTCCTGTAGTCTAAACAGGGAATCAGGAACCTCTCATTTTCTCTCTATTCCTGAGTTGCACAAAGGAAAGCTTTGACCTCGTCAAGTCACTTTTAGGAAACTTTGTGTGTTCTGGAAGGCGCTGTCAAAAAGGGGAAACTCCAGCCCAGACTTGAACACTTGTAAAAACAAATCATGAGACATCGTTTTGATAAACGGCCAAACAAAGACGACATGAATTATGGCATCACATTGAAATATAGGGCTTATTTGCATCTGAGCTACTAGTTCAGCATAAAATAACATTTCTCAGCTGTCTGAAACATCGATGGTACCAAAGATCAAGAGCTTGTTTTGGAACTCACTATTATGCTAATACATCCATCACTTAAAAAGTAGAAATACAATTAGTAACGTCGGTCGATCAGAATGTTGTTCTGGCAAAAAAATATGAACTGTGATGACAGTTAAAACCAAAGCTATCTCGATTAAAAATCAATCAGAATGTAGGAGTATCTATTTCATTTGACAAGATCGAGCCTTACGAGTGAGAGCAGTAATCTAGATGAGAGCAGCGGTTTGTTCCTGCTTTGAAAAGCAGTTCACTTGCATCATCCCGCTGTAATGGTCCACCTTTGCTCTCTGACTGTGCACTCCAGATGTAAACCTGTCATCACTCGGTGGTAATATCTGCCCGACTGCGTCAGAGGCGAGACAAATGAGCCGTATTTCACCATTTGTGACTATTTGATACGAGATGAGGCGTAATTGTGGGGAGCAAATGTTTGCTTTAGAAGCTCTGAAAAATGGAGAAGTTGAAGTTATCATATATGTAACGTACAGTGTATTGCATCGTGCAGAACTCTCGAATGTGTGCTTCAGCACGGACATTAGTTGTGTTGCTAAGGCGATTGTTGTCATCGCAGTAGATGGTATTGTATTTGGTGTGCGGAAGTTGGTTGTGATGCTGCAACAGTTTCCTGCCACGTGTGTTTAAGTCAAACATCAAACCAAATGACTGTTACTGTGACGAGTGTCCCGGGCTGAAGTCGTCGGGGCGCTGCTGCTGCTCTGGATCTTGTAAGCTGCTGTGTTACATCAGCTTGACCCCAAACACACACAGCCCAAAAAAAAAGGATGATTGTAGTTTCTTCTTCTGTTGGTAGAAAGTCAGGATTAGTACAGAGCAATCGCTGCTGCTTTCAGTCTCGCTTTCCGGCATGCTTAGAAATGCAGACAGCTGTGGTTTGGCCTGATGTCTAGAAGTTTTATGTGGATTTATTTATTGGCTTCCTCTTTACAGTGTATTGAGTTTATGAGGTTTTGATCATCTGTGTTTTGGTTTCTGATGATTCAATCACCGACTAGCCCACAGTTGTTCTGTGCAATCTCATCTCAGTGCCGTTATTAACCCAGCTCTGCTCTAGTTAGTCTTCAGAGCGACTTCTCTGTTATTTGCCGCAAGGTAGCAATAACATTCAGAGAGGCAACAAAAGCATTTTAAGCACGGTGACAAAAGAGAATGTCTGGAGGTTGCGTAACATCTGCTGAAGCAGGTTCGCTCTTTTCATCGGACACTTCAAGCAGCATTTATAAATCAGCAGCAGAGTGTCGCATCTCCTGTAATTGGCTGTTGGGGGAGATAGTTTTAAATACCACTTGCGGCTATGAAGACGGAATCCAATGATGTCGAGGCTTAAATACAGACCGCATGAAAGAGCCATCCGCTCACCGCTTCCCGTATCCATGGCTACAAGTTGTTCCAAGAGGCAGACTGGTTCACAGTGCTGCTGCGCCGTCTGCAGAGGAAACCGATTTTATAAACTGCATTGGCAACAGCAGAAATACTACATTTACAAACCCCGAGTTTCCTGAAGGAAATCCCTAATTGCATGTGAAAAATGTAATGACCAGCCGTCCACACTGACTTGATATTGTGGGAGGATCTCACTCTGATAGCTAGTGTTTAGAGTAACAAGTAGAAGGGCCTCCTTGTCAAACAGATGTGAATGATAAAAGCAGCCCGGTTTGGGACCTCACTGCTAATAGGATCCATGCAACCGCAGAGGAAGCTGGTTCCGGGACAAACAACAACACTCGAAAGCTTTCATCCTCTGGGCCTCGCCATTAAGAGCTCACTTCCTTCTGATAGCAGCGTTTTTGGTGAAGCAGTTGCATGAAGTCCACCTGTATGCCGCTCTTTCCGTGGTCTTCTGAGATCTGTGCTGAGACCAAAAAACTAAAAAGTGCTGTTTCTGCATAAACTCTGATGTAATTGGAACTGCCATCCAAACTGTTTGGACGGGAGGGACTGCCTATAATCAATGTGTCCAGGAAGTCCACATTGTTCAGAAGGTGCATTGTATTACAACACCTAATGCAATCTTGGCACACACATGGAGAAATGGAGGCGTTGTCTTCAGCGTGAATGCCTCTGTAAATGGTTCAGTGTTGAATGCAGGAGATGCTCGAGGTGGAGTAATCCACCTCATGTTCATGCATGTTGGAGCAATTCTGCTAACTCCCTACATTCAACAGACAGTGAGCTAATGTGCTGTAATAGCAGTCGTTTCCAATGTAATCCATAGCTAGTGGTTGTTAAGGAACCGTGTGTGGCCCATGTTTTAGACTAATTTAGTTGTATATTCCCAAGTATTAATCTGAAAATATATTTATATATATTTTCCTCTAAGTTAGACGTGTTGTTAGAGCTCCCTGTTGGAGTATGGGTTTATCTTATTGAACCTCTGTGATACCCACTGAATCTCAAAGGAAAGTGGGACGAGGATCCACCTCAGGACGAGTACAGAAGCTGTAAAATAGTCCTGAAATATTCATAAAGTGCTTGTCTTTGAGAAAAAAGTTAGGAGAATTCTAATGCAAATTAAGTTCAAATTTAGTAAAAGCTTTAATAAAAAAAAAAAAAAAAAAGCTCCTAATAAGCACTTCAAAAGGCCGCGGTTCTCCATCAAAGCAGACTGCATCAGGATGGCGTCTCAGAGGAAGGTGGCGAGCTGGCAGGCTGCTGCGCTGAGGCTCTAGTCTGCCTTTGTCTGTTGCTCTGTGACCTAAATAGGCAGCCATGCATGGCTTAATGGGAGACAAACATCAGGAGGGGGGGGGGGGTCAGTAAATAACACCTCCAGCTCTTCTTTGTTTGTTGTTGCACACGTCCCAACACGGATAAGACACTTTCTTTTTTTTTAATGAGAGAACATCCACCTCTCTTAGAGATACAAGGACTGGATGACAGGCTGTAATGTGAAGAAGCTCTGGTTCAAACTCGTCCTAATTCGATTTTTCTCCTCTGAGATGTTTCAGATTGACATGGAAATTCCTCACGATCAGTGAGGTATGAGGTATGATGATTTTAAGATATGTGTGAAGTTAACTTTCCGGCTCGCCGACTAAGGGCTTATGGTGCTTCCCTTTTTTTTGTCGATTGGTCAATCCAACGCTTTGGTCCGGACTGAAAAATCTCAACAACTGTTTGATAGATTTCTATAAGATTGTATACAGATGTTCATGGTCCCCAGAGGATGAAGCCTCCTGACTTCATCCTCTGGGGACCATGGCATTTTGTGATATCCAACTATTGGATGGTGTCCCTTGAAATTCAGTGCATACTTTCATTTTCCCCTCACCATTTTGATCACCCTCTGATCCTCTAAATAGGCAATGCTAACATGCTAAACTAAAATTGAACGTGGTACACATTATACCTGCTAAACATCAGCATGTTAACACTGTCAATTTGTCTGCATGTTGCCATGCTAGCGTTAGGGACAGCAGTGCTTTGAACTAGATGCTAAGTACGTGCTCACAGAGCCGTAAACGTGGCTCTTAGTGTATTTCATTGGGTGAACAAAGAGAAAATGTGAGTGTGAATTTAGGAACTAGAACGCTTCCAGCAGCATTACAATAGGGGTAATATAGGCCGACTGAAATGGCAATTACTGACATTGCCGATCTGAGTTATTTCGAGACTGAATGGCTGATCAAGTGTATTATTGTAACGCTTGGGATTTGCTCCTCTCTCCTGCTGTTGCTTGTCGGGACTAAGTGTGGATCAAAGTGGTGCTCCGGTGTAGGATCAGGGCCAGAGCTGGGCCGTGTTGACGTTCACTCTGGGTTTATTTTAGTTCACCCATTGGGTGGGGAACTCCAAATATTATGAAAGGAGGAAGTTGAGCAAGGCCCCCGACCAGCAGTCCGTGCGTTCCTGATAACTCCGGGCCCTCATTAGAAGCACATGTGGGCAGGGCCCAGTCTTCAACTGTACCTGCCTGCCTGCCTATCTGGCATGATTCCTGGAAGTGCGTGTGTGTGCGTGTGCGTGCGTGCGTGCGTGTGCGCGCAAGGGGTCAGCTCCAGTGAGGGGGTCAGGCAGAGAGGCTGGCAGTAATTTTTTCCCCTAAACCCCAAGAGGATTACTTTGAGGGAGGAAATTCAAGTCAAGCTGTTGCAGCAGTAATGACTCATGACAGTCTTCTCCTCCCACATAGCGGGACCCAAAAGGCTGTTTTTGCAAAAACCCCAGATTCTTATTACAATCATAAAAAGTGATGATAAAAATGTGTTACTCGATAGCATTTGTTGCACAGCTTAGTCCTGACAGAGCTTCTGTGCGGGGACGGTCTGAGACGAGTGCCAAATTACACATAATAAGTCACCTAACACAGCGAGCCTGATTTTACTGCCGTCCTCGTTGAGAGGTGCAGTTAAACTAACAATCGCGCCTTTTTACAGTCCAAAGAGGCATCACAGAGACTTTTTTTATTCTTCTGACCAGAAGGGAAAAGGTCAGTTCAGACTGTCCAAAGCTCCTTTCCTTAATTACAGCATTGCGCTTCACTCCTTCTATGACAAAACACTTTTGTGTTTGTTTGTCTGAGTCAAAGCGGACCCATAATGGTGCATTTATTTCTGCATTCAGACGCTTGAAAAGAGCTGCTTTCATCCAGGCTCCTCTTTTTACGTTGCCCTGGAGACAGAAAACCGTTGTCGCTGCCGAAATGCCGCCACTCGCTGAAAAAAACACAACACACCTCCCTCCCACGCATCGGGCTGTATTCAAGTGGCCCTGTGCCATTAACTATGCAGTTCTCTGGTTTTTCCAGGATACACAAGTGATGCTTGATTACCGTCTATCCGTGTGAGGTCTAGGGGTTCATGCTCAACACTTAATCGCTCTCTCAATATTTCAGAAATACATTTGATACATGCAAGGTATAAATCTTGAATCTAAAGTTATGCTTCTATTTTTGTCCCCCCCCCACAGGAAACCAGAGAGTGTCGGTGAGTAGTCTGCTGGTCTGTCATGGTCTGTTGCTGGTGGGGACCAACCTGGGAGTGACTGTGGCCCTCTCTGTCCCCAGACTGCAGGGGATCCCCAAAGTCACAGGTAACGCCGACGCAGCACTGTATTGCATATTCAGATGTACTCGGACACAGTCCCGCATCTCTGGATTGTTTTCATCCTAAGTGTGTGAAACGTCCTCAGTGAATATTAAAGGGTCTGTGCCTGTTGTCAGGTCGGGGCATGGTGTCCTTACACGCTCACAACGGTCCGGTCAAGTTCCTCAGCGTGGCTGCCGCGGTGTGTAACCGGCCCTCCTCTGGTCCGTCGTCCTCCACCCGGCCCACCTCAGCTCAGCCAACAGAGACTGTGGACGATGATGGGGGGAACACCCAGCCCCCCTCCTCGGATTCCGCCCCTCAGGGACGGGGTGTGTGGCTGGGAGAGGCGGGCTGCACCGCCATGGCTCTCCGGGACTCCCTGTCCTCATCGTCCTGCGGCTCCCTAGCGCCGTCCCTGGGCTCTTTGGAGCACGGGCCCGAGGACGGGGCCCTTTACGACGTGCTCCACGACCCGGCCCATCACCAGAGGGGCCGCCGGGTCAGCAAGGTGGACGTCAGCTCTCTGCTGGTGGTGTCTGGAGGCCTTGGCCACCGCAGGGTCAGCAAGAAGACCAAACAGTCTCGCCACGAGGACACCACCTCTACCATCATGATCTGGCAGATCCCCTTGCTCAGCATGTGACACCCAAAGTGCCTCAGTAGGTTGGAAATAACACTTTCTCTGTAACTAAGCAATACATACTTGTATCTTACCTATATCCTCTCTCTTTTTCAGGTTTCAACAAAAGTGCTGCACACAACTCTCACAAAAGAGATCTGTTACACTCCACATCAAGCACTCCACAATACTCCAGATGATGTTCCTAAAGATGTCTCCTACCATAAAAGAAAAACAAAGGGTTAATATAACCACTCAATCATGATGCTTGACGGAGCAAACAGCCTCCGGACCAGTCGGAGGATATACTGTATACTTGTTGGAAAACACTGAAAGCTCTTTTTTTTTTTTTTTTTTTTCTTTTTCCTGTAACATGGCTAACACATTACTCTCCAATGTCTGTGCCATACCAGTTGACTGTATAGGACTGCAGTATTCATATCAGTGTTGATGACTTCATGAAAGGTGTGTAAGGAAACGATGGGGCTTTCAATCTGTTACATAAAAGTTTTATTAAGAGTAGGGTTCTGGCCAGACCTGTAGGTCATCTGTCGAGTCCCCGAGTTGTAAATATGAAGTATGACAACTCAGGATTACGTGTGTGTGAGTTTCGGGGTCATCTTTTGTGCCAGCGTGGCGCTTCTACCATTCTGGCAACGGAGGAAAAGGGGATGGGGGAAAGAAAAGGTGAAATATATCGATGACTGAATCTGTTCGAGAAGGCTTGATGAGGATCCCTGGCTGGCCAGGTTCCTAATAATAAAGGCGTGAAAGTGTTGTCATCACCAGGAGAGAGTTCCTCTCCCAATGAATCGTTTTCTCGCATAAGGATATTTTAAAAAAAGGAAAAAAAGCTTTATACTTTTGTCACAATTTGTATTTACTTCTGTGTATTAACAAATGCATAAACTGTTTTATTGAGCAACCTTGTGTACTTCATTTGAAACCAATTCTTCAAAGGATGCATGCAGTTCTCCACTTACAGTGGGTACGGAAAGTATTCAGACCCCTTTAAATTTTTCACTGTTTCATTGCAGCCATTTGCTAAAATCAAAAAAGTTCATTTTATTTCTCATTAATGTACACTCAGCACCCCATCTTGACAGAAAAAACAGATGTAGAAATTTCTGCAAATTTATTAAAAAAGAAACTGAAATATCACAAGTATTCAGACCCTTTTGAGCTAGTACAGCCATGAGTCTTCTTGGGAATGATGCAACAAGTTTTTCACACCTGGATTTGGGGATCCTCTGCCATTCTTCCTTGCAGATCCTCTCCAGGGATTGTTGGGATTGTATTGGGCAGGTGATGAGCAGTGCCTGGTTTTCTCCACACATACCGCTTAGAATTAACGCCAAAAAGTTCAATCTTGGTCTCATCAGACCAGAGAATCTTATTTCTTATAGTCTGGGAGTCCATGTGTTTTTTGGCAAACTCTATGCGGGCTTTCATATGTCTTGCACTGAGGAGAGGCTTCCGTCGGGCCACTCTGCCATAAAGCCCCGACTGGTGGAGGGCTGCAGTGATAGTTGACTTTGTGGAACTTTCTCCCATCTCCCTACTGCATCTCTGGAGCTCAGCCACAGTGATCTTTGGGTTCTTCTTTACCTCTCTCACCAAGGCTCTTCTTCCACGATTGCTCAGTTTGGCTGGACGGCCAGGTCTAGGAAGAGTTCTGGTCGTCCCAAACTTCTTCCATTTAAGGATTATGGAGGCCACTGTGCTCTTAGGAACCTTGAGTGCTGCAGAAGTTCTTTTGTAACCTTGGCCAGATCTGTGCCTTGCCACAATTCTGTCTCTGAGCTCCTTGGGCAGTTCCTTCGACCTCATGATTCTCATTTGCTCTGACATGCACTGTGAGCTGTAAGGTCTTATATAGACAGGTGTGTGCCTTTCCTAATCAAGTCCAATCAGTTTAATTAAACACAGCTGGACTCCAATGAAGGAGTAGAACCATCTCAAGGAGGATCAGAAGAAATGGACAGCATGTGAGTTAAATATGAGGGTCACAGCAAAGGGTCTGAATACTTATGACCATGTGATATTTCAGTTTTTCTTTTTTAATAAATTTGCAAAAATTTCTACATTTCTTTTTTTTTCTGTCAAGATGGGGTGCTGAGTGTACATTAATGAGAAATAAAATGAACTTTTTTGATTTTAGCAAATGGCTGCAATGAAACAGTGAACAATTGAAAGGGGTCTGAATACTTTCCGTACCCACTGTATGTCCACAATGTATCATTATACATCCTAATGTATTGTTTCATTGAAGATTCTCTTCCGGGGAAATACATATGGAGTTTATGGCAACTTCTCTCGCAAGTTTCCAGCTAAAAATAAATAATGTAATGCACCAGTTACTCACGCTAACATATTTAAGTCCTATTTTAGACCGGAGAAGAGAGAGTGTTAGTGTGCCTATTTCTCTTGACTCAAACTAACCTTGCACTTGTGCTCCACTCGGCTTGTGTGCAGACATCGGTACATGCTGGGACTAGCAATGTGCCTGAGGGGCCGCAGGAGCCGAGCCCGATACCGCTCTTCCGGGATTTCACTGCTCATTTCTCGCACTGCCGCAAGGAGAGGGTCAAGGCTTTTCCTCTCTTGCGACGCCCACGTCCACTGTTGCACAACCGCGTTTCACTACATTGTCAGTTCTTACAAGCAAAGATAGAAGGATGTCAGCTTAGAGTTGATCCCATGCTAGAATCCACGGCCTGCTGGGCTTATTCCAAATATCGTCTGATCTTTATGGGGACTTGAGCCTAAGATAATATTTAACTTCTGTAACTGAATACTGGCTTGTATTTATTAACTTCTAGAAAAACGTGGCAACGCCTCGGTCTCGCTGAACCAACCCGAGCTATCAGTTTGTCTGGCTGGGTGTTGCAACTGGAAGTCTTTTGTTTCCCTCTCTGACCCTGACGTTTCCATGGAGATCACTCATTTTGCGTATCAGTCTTTCGACGATTCTTTGTTCTCAAAATACCCGGCATTAAAACCTCCCAGCTGAATGCCCTCTAATCTCACACGGCTGATAGTTGTGTGATGCCCTTGCGGTGGCTCCCCTCTATTTTTACATCTGAAGGCCAGTTAAGACACGCAGTCTCCTCGGTGGAGAGGTTGTGGACCCTGAATAAAATAACTGCTGCTGCCCTGTGAGGTCGTGCTATTTCTAATCGGGCCTCGTCACATGCTGTGTGCCTCTTTTATCACTGTAGAAACACAAACGTTTCCAACTCTGTTACTTCTACACTCTGGTTCTGGTTGTATCTCGTGTGGGAGTTCGTCAGAAATGATGCTGGATCATTTCCAAATAAAAGGAAAGTGTGACTCATATTTCCAGAGCATCGTTCGGCAATTTACTTTAGAGAGCAATCATGTCAGTCCTACAGGTATATTTTATGATAAACTGTCTCATGCACAAACAGGTGGAGTGTGCTAATGGACCATCTATTGATTTTTGAACAGCCTTAGTGTAATATAAAATTCCTTTGGGGGTCTAGTGTTTAATTATATTTCAATGTGCAGCTGTAATATCCTACTAAATTGTTCTCTATAGGATTATTTCACATAAAGGGTCCCACTTTTTCATGATGAAATGAGTTGTACCCGGGACGGGGACGATACGTAAAGGAATGTCGCATCTCTAACAGATGGAGCCTCGTGCGCCTGCTGTTGAGAGTAGGGTTAATACCGACTGAAGGGGCGTGGTTTTGCTCAACGATGACCGCCTCACTGTAGTCAACGGTACCAAAAAAAAAAAAACACGCAACAAAATGCACAGCCCTGGCAGGTCCGACAGCTAGTGCCTCTTGCTGCCCACGCTGGACAGCTCCCGCTTCCTGGAGGACGACGCGTTGGTGAACGTGCGCGGGCAGCTCTCCCCTCTTCCACCGGAGGAAATTAGTTGGCGATCTTGCTGATCTGAAGAAGGAGGTGCGACCTGAAATGACTGGTGTTTGTTTGAGCGTCCCTCTTCTGCCTGCCTCGCCTCCACCACTGAACCCGGGGGGGAGCTCGCAGTGCAGGGGCGCATGAGGCAGCAGCAGCAGCAGCAGCAGCAGCTGAGAGGGTCTGGGATCGGATCTGTGGGTGAAGTGAGCACAGCCTGGCTGGGATCACCAGGATCGCGGACTGCCTTACGTAACGGAGCTTTGTGCCGGACTGGCAGGGAAACTGCTGGTGCCGAGCTGTTTAATTGCAGAGAGGAAACGCAGGTAAATCACATCACACTGGATATAAATCTGTATTTATGTGTACTCATTGAATTTATACTAGGTTAACGTAAAATAGCCTACTTATATTCTTTCTTGGTTTAACAAACTGGGCTGTTTTCTCGGCGTGTGTCCGACATTATGGGATAACGCGTTGGACAAGAGACGGGAGTTTTGATGTGATTACAAACGCCCTTTCTCAGTTTTATCGGAGATTAATCCCTCCATCAGCGCTACACCATTTGCGCATGCGCTCTGAATGGCTCCAGATTACCACCACAAATCATGGGCAGGCAGAGTGATTATTGCAGTGGGTCATGCAGTTAGTTTACAGCCACGAGAAGCCGCATGTTGGGGATTGCATCGGTTTCTTTTGTTTGAAAAGTAGGTGTTGCATGCTGAAGCCTGCAGTTGGTTTTGACTCACCTGATGAAACATTAAAGGAGTGTAATACACAGCAGAGCTGGAAATGGCAGCA